AAATTTGGCAATAGTTGATGTGGCTTGGTTCCTTTCTACTTAACGCGGTCCGTGTATGCATAGTATGAAGCAAATTCATTAAAATTTTCAAAGGAATCCGCACAAACGTCCTCTTGTGAAAAATTCAATCGCCCGGTCAAATTTGGCAATAGTTGATGTGGCTTGGTTCCTTTTTACTTAACGCGGTCCGTGTATGCATAGTATGAAGCAAATTCATTAAAATTTTCAAAGGAATCCGCACAAACGTCCTCTTGTGAAAAATTCAATCGCCCGGTCAAATTTGGCAATAGTTGATGTGGCTTGGTTCCTTTCTACTTAACGCGGTCCGTGTATGCATAGTATGAAGCAAATTCATTAAAATTTTCAAAGGAATCCGCACAAACGTTCTCTTGTGAAAAATTAAAATCGCCCGGTCAAATTTGGCAATAGTTGATGTGGCTTGGTTCCTTTCTGCTAAGGTCCGTGTATGCATAGTATGAAGCAAATTCATTAAAATTTTCAAAGGAATCCGCACAAACGTTCTCTCGCGAAAAATTAAAATCGCCCGGTCAAATTTGGGAATAGCTGATGTGGCTTGGTTCCTCTTTTTCAAAGGAATCCGCACGAACGTTCTCTTCTGAAAAATTAAATCGCCCGATCAAATTTGGCAATAGCTGATGTGGCTTGGTTCCTTTCTGCTAAGTTCCGTTTATGCATAGTATGAAGCAAATTCATTAAAATTTTCAAAGGAATCCGCACAAACGTTCTCTTGTGAAAAATTAAAATCGCCCGCGGTCAAATTTGGGAATAGCTGATGTGGCTTGGTTCCTTTCTGCTTAACGCGGTGCGTTTATTTTGCTTTGCCAGGGCGTTTGAACTGGATTTTCAGGCGGAGGAAATGTCGCTACGTGGAACGATACTTTTCCCGCCTATTTCTGGCCCGTTATTGCTATAAAAGGACGAACTGACGTGCTTCGGCGGCCTTGCCAGGTGACTCTGCAAATGTCTTCGATGTCGCTTATTCATTTCGGTGAAAAATATGACTCCTCGTGCGATCCATCAACCCTGTCCAGAGCCACGCCGAGCTGCCAATTCTGATGACGTCAGAAGCTCGCGTGAAGTGGACATCGCGGCGAGATGAACTGCAAATGGGCCCCGGCGAGGAGGAGGGGCGGAATACCTCTACCCACGTGAGACACCTTTTCGCAGCTGCTAATAACTTGAATGACAACATCAAACGCAGCCCAAAAAAACAAGACGGCATTCTAGAAAAAAAGAAAATTCTTTACTGAAAATTTCCTGTGCGTTTTACAATATTAGTGAGCATTCTCGCTCCGATGGTTCCACATTTTGCGTATTTCATACTTCATTTAGCTCGCCGCGCTCGATTATGCAACCAGCAGAACTGCCGTGCTCAGGCAAAACGCCGCAGGGACCTTCAGACGTTGTCAAATTTCCTTTGATAAAATACGAATTTACGGAGAAATTTGTGAATATTTTTCCTCCAATTTTTCAGATAATTTCATCGCAGCCAGATCTAAATCATCTGCAAATTTCAAAAGAAAATATTCATAACTTTCCCCGAGAATCATACTTTTGTCGGAGGAAATTTGGCAACTCTCGAATGTTCATGCGGCGTCCTTCTTCAGCATGGAAGAGAAGCCTCCCCGCCTGATTACGCTTGCTTACAGGACTAAAAAAATCGACGACAAATAATCAAAAGACCTATTGAGCGAGGATTGACAAATAAAAAGCGAACGTGTTGGGCCTGTCCATGAGAAACCGGAGGAAATAGAGGAGAAGGAGAGGGAAGACTCTGCTAAATGTTACATAGATCAGAGTTGAAAAAGTAAGTACCCATTGCCGTGTCTGTGGGTACTTAGAAATTCAACTTCAATTGAGAAACAACTAAAAGGGCTAGGCAAAATTTCTGAGAGCAACTATACCTACTCCTAAGCCACTCAAATTGCCTGATCAAGTGTTTGAAGGCGAACAAGTCGGAGTGCGGGATCCGCTCTGCATTTTAACAGAAGAGCACTTGACGCCAAATCAAATATTTCGCCTAATATTTTTCGAAGAAAGTAACATTTTTAGGCTACGTATTTGGGTTAAGTACCAATGAAAACAATTAGACGAGTTCTGCGTATAGCCTATACGAAACTTACAGGGAGAGTTCAGGTATGCACTGCGAGTGTGTTGTACGGGGAGAGGTCTCTGAAAAGCATACTTTTCCTTTATTGTCTCGTAATATCTATGTATGTATGCGTGTGTCGTGTGTTACGTTCCGATCTCTGACCATATAATTAGGAAAATTAGCCCGATAATGAAATTTCACGAGGGAAAGAAGAAGATAAGTAAATTAGAAATCACTGATGGACGCAGTTGTGTGCTTTATGAGAAACTATATCGACGGTGAAACTCCAAAACCATGTATCTCGTTTGAGGTAATTCGAAATCTCCACTCCCTTTTTATTTTTTGGATGAGAACAAATCAACATTACTGCTTAAAATTTTCACAGATTTTTCCTCAGAGAAGATAGTAATGAGAGTTTAAAGCATTTACGTTGAATAGTCCCCCATTTAAAAATTAAAATACCAATGATAGGAAGTTTGCGACCATTGGCGGATCCAGCAAAATGGCAACATTGCCTTTTCTCCATTTAAAGCTATGAAAATGTATCGATTCTTGGAGGGGCCAAGTGATCCGACAAGAATCGATTATTTGGACTGCATTTTGCAATTTGGAACTATAAATTCTGGCTCTTTAGAAAAAACACTTACCTGCATATGGAAACTAATGATACATACGTTGTTTTTAAACCGGGCTAGAATTTATAGTTCCAAATTGCAAAATGTAGTCCATTTAGCATAGGTTTAAATGGAGGAAATCCAGTGTTGCCAAATTGCTGGATCCGCCTCTGTAATTGCAACGCCGCAAACCGAGATACGTGGTTTGGGAATTTCACCATCGATGTAAGTACAGATTAATACACGAATAAAAAGGAACCATGTACATAGCAAATGTGGGTCTCATTATTTCTCTTGATTTAAGCTGTTTGTATATGGGTCCTTTTCTCTGGCATGAATTCGTTCAGATATTCATGAGGAATACTGGAAAGAGCCTTTTGCCTCGGAGATGGGAATAACATTGCACGCGACACGGGACCGGCCCAAAAATTCAATGGGCAGGTTGAGGATTTTACGGGGCATGGAAATAGTGTCAACTATGCCCTGAAGAGATTTGCCGATGGCCGTTTACGTCATTCCATCGCTGACAAGCAGTTTGACGCACAATTTCCCGAAGTGAATTTCCGAGCGTTGCCAGCTTGCTAGCAAAACAAGCCGAAGTTGGTGAGTTTTTGCTCGGGTAGAACTGAGAACTTTTATGGACCGCATAGAACAGGGTTGCCACAGAATTTAGAAAATTTAATTCCCTGACATTTCCCAGATTTTTCTGACAATTGAAGATGTGGCGGATGGTTAAGAAGGCATAATTCAAAATACTTTTCAGGCAAAATTTGTTGTTCGAAACCTCAAACCCATTCTAGAAAGCAACTGAATGAAGGTGATTTAACAAATTTTCCCTGTCATTTTCGTCATTTTCCCTGACAATCCCCGGTTTTCCCTGACATTTCCCGGTACATATTCCCTGATGACGGTGGCAACCCTGATAGAAGGCACTCCTCCAAGAAGAGTCGGGGGAGACACGGAGAGGCAACCGAGAGTTTGTTTGAGGGACTCCCCGAAAAACCTTGAAAATTAAGGGGTTTTCGCAAGCAGCAGTGATCGCGATGAGTTCCGATTTGATCGGTGAATGTATCGCGATTTCATAAACGTGGATTTATTGAAATCTTATTGAAATCTATCTCCTAAAGGTCAGAAGGAGATAATAGTGGACCTTCTCACTCATTTGTCAGAGAGGAGAGAGTTCTGGAAGGATCTTCTAAAAAATGCGAGATTATTCGGATCACATTCGGCAATGAAAGAATACGTGAAATTATGGGCGTCAAAAACAGCATATAAAGCATGACATTTTCACGATACATTTTGTCTGCTATGGTCATGTGTGAAGGATGCCATGATGATAGGTTGCCTACGGATAACTCAGAAAACGTTTAACAACACTTCGGCTGAGCTCAGCCACTCAGCGGATAAATCAGCGGTTGCACTTCTGACTTTAACAACGCGTCTTACACATAGTACTGATGACCAGGGCCGGATTAAGGGGGTGGCCACATAGGCCGTGGCCCATGGCGGCAAATCTATAAGGGGCGGTAAATTTTGCAATTTTTTCAAATGTAGGTATAAAAAAAATCGGACTTAGAAAAAAAAATTACAAACGAGAAAAGGCGACAGAATCTCTAATTTTCTGAGAGTACAGTAATTTCTACTTTTGTCGTCTTTCAGTGATACAAGAGACAGCACCTTTAATTTATTAGTCGAGTTAAGAGAGAAACCAAACACGCAATTTGGCCTGGCACGGCGCAACTTATCTAGAGAGAAATGATGACGAGGACTTGAGATGAAAAGGAGAAGCCCTCGGAGCGGCGATCGGCATGTAACACATCTTAGCGCCTACAAGACTGCACGAATACTTCACGCATTGCATCAAGCACGGTGCGGTCATTGCGGACAGCGTGAAACGGATAGCGCCTACAAGAATGCATGAATGTCATGCATTGCGGCAAACACAGCGCGATCAGCGTGAGACGCATAGCGCCTACAAGACTGCGTGGATACTTCACGCATTGCGTCAAAGACAGTACGGTCAGCAAGGCGCGGCGGCGGAAGTTAATATCATTGATCCACATTTATGTTTGTTCTTTCATAATTTTTTCGTTCATTTCTTATGAATGGAAGGCCTTGTCCACACAGAGATAGATTTACGAAACTTAGCTTTCGCGCCAAGTTCCGTGAACTTATGCTAGTAGTGTTGACAGGGTTTTCCCAAAAAGTGTGTGTGTTCAACACCAGTAAACGCGTCTTATGCACCCCTCCCCCGCTAGCACGTTCATTTGATGGTTTTCATTGATGTTTCAAAACGAATTACCGGCCCTGCCGATGACGTAAACTAGATACAAACTGTGTTCCTGGTCTCTGAATAACAACAACAACAACACAGAAGTGAGGTTAGATTAGGATTAGGTTTACTCCTTTTCTTATCAGTATTCGTGCTGTAAATATTTCTCCAATCTTTTAATTTCACCATTCTACCAACCTACCAGCGGAATGTGTTTATAATAATCCTGCCTCATGTCCGTGAGAGTTATTATTTCCAACTAATAGAATTTTCATCACCAGAGTAAGGAAAGAGGCAGCAATGATAGCTCTCCGGACAGGATATCGTGCAGTTTCTAACCGTGAGTTTTTTTCAAGACTTCAGAATCATTTGCTTCTAAATACTGTGTCTGTAGATTATTGTTATTTCACCCAATCAATTAAAAAAAAAAAAAAAAAAAAAAAAAAANAAAAAAAAAAAAAAAAAAAAAAAAAAAAAAAAAAAAAAAAAAAAAAAAAAAAAAAAAATTACTTAGCTTAATTTATATGAGAGTTTCAATGCAGGTTGAATACTTATTTCACAATCTAAATCAAGATGTGTACATTAGCTATGCCTAATAGAGCTCTTTCACTGCGCATCTCTTACTGCAAACCATGGAATGTGCATTTTGAATGCGCAAGCGCATTCAAACTGAACGAGACAATTCGTACAAACTCCTACCTCTTATCAGAGTCTATGTCAAATAAATTTACGCACTCTTAGAAAGCGACAGAAGATCCGCCATCTTAACTCTTACACCCACTCTTAATGTCAATCTGAAGATTGTAGATCTTCTGTCACCCTCTTAAAATACGTAAACACTTTGGGATCGACTGTAATCCCTTTTCTATTCTAGTTTGACACAGATCTGAAGAGTGTGCATTCACACAAGTTCTGTAACCAAAATTGTTGTTTTGCTTGGTTTTCATTTCCATCTTGCTCTGTGCCCGTATTGAGCAAGTGACTGGTGTGCCTTTGCTGCCTCTAGACTTTGCAGTGAGTCTGGTCTGAATTTTTAGACGCTACATTTGCCCAGTATTCCAAGTTTGTAGGTGTCAAAGCCTCATGTTCAGGCGCATTTTACGCATGGCACCCAATGAAGTTGGAACACTTCAAGAAACAGAAGAAACTTAATGTTCAGCTCTGGTCAAAACGCAAATGAACTACCAGACTCGCTGTCACTTTTGGACTTTGTTCTCATTTGTGACCGTATCTGTAAGAAGGGACCTCGTCCTCCGCAAGAAAATTTTCCTTAACTACCTGTAAATGCATGGAAGAAGATAATGCAGAAATTTTAGGGTAAGTAAGTTTGACCTTCAAATCTAAAAAATTGAAAGAGATATTAGTCCTGAGCCTGCAATACTTAAATTCTCAGGTTGTAGGAAAAGGAAGTTTTACTTTTTGCAGAAAATTATCAAATTTCCGTGCAGATAAGGTCCCTCTGCACAGAATCAGTCTTATTTTTCGTTAAATCCAGAAAATTTGACCTCCTATCCTGCAAGTAGTTTCAGTGCTCTTACTTACTTGAGCATGCCCATCTTAATCTGAAGTCTCTGAAAATTTTTCCAGTTTTCAGTCATGCCTCACCTGCACTGAGCTCTATCCATCCAGGGCAGTCACTTGCATTCAGTGGGAGCAAAACCGTAGCAGAGCCTCATAGAAGCATTTTTACGTTCGCCAGAAGCCTATGTGTATCATTGCAGCCACTCTCCAGTTTTCTCCAAAGCTCATCTGTCTTCCAGGAGTAAGTGTAGCATATACTGTGTGTGAACCACAACTTATCACATATCAGAGGAAAAATCAAAGATGCATTTACCTTGATTAGGTAAGGTCCGCCAGATAAGGTGCGAATTTAAGCATTATTATGCACATGTGATACCATTAAAATTCCACGTAGAAGGTGATTTTTACAATGAAAGTGATCAAAAATATACCTAGCCTGATTCAGGGGCTTGGAAGATAAGGCGCATAAGTGCAGTTTTTATTATTTCGAACAAAAGGAGTTTGAAGTTCTGGATTTTACTTGGACCTATACTTAGAGTGTTTCAAATACCTTCAAAATTCACAAGCGTTTGTCTCGCATCTTCATGAACATCTTCTGAAATTTTCAGCTCAGTTGAGCCAAATTGAGGCCAGCAGTTGAGCTTTAAGTGACGGTAAGCCGCATTTATCTTGCATCTCCTCCTCTAAATGAAAAATGCACTCATCCCATTGCTCAAATTATTATCACATTCTATCAAAACTGTTGTAGTGCAAGTAGTCTCTTTTGTAATTGGGAAATCCAAATTTTTTGTAACCAATGCCAAATTAAAACGTTCATATCTTGGTTTGGAGTGAATCTCAGGACTTTTCCTCGTGCACATCGTTTTGTTCGTGAAATTTTGACATGGGAACCCATATCAAAATACTTAAATTCATACCTTGTCTAGTGTTCCATTGGCAGCAAGTTTGCTGAAATGTGATCCTTTAAAAATTAAGCAGCCAAGATTTTGGAAAACTGCCATTGAGTTGCATGATTTTCTAGTCTAATCATTGGTATACTTTCTTGAAGAAGTTTTTGTTGTTGATTGATTTTTGGAAAATCCCTGAAAGTATCTTTAAGTAAAGAATTCAAGGTACTTACCTATCACTCTAAAGATCATAGGTAAGAGGAAGAAATAAAGACCCCATTAAAAAAGGAATAATAAAAAAACTAATGGGGAATACAATTGGTGTGGGTTTTTTTTCTAAATTATAGAAACTAAAATTGTTATACAAGCTGCATCACAAGAGATATTTGTTTTCAACTCAGTGGCTGGCAATTCCGTTTCCAAGGACCACAAACTTGAGTCATTATTTCTTCATAACATGGCTTGAGAATTCATTGCCTACTATTTTTCTTTCAATCAGGTCAAGGAGAAATCAAGGATGCTCCAGAATTTATCACCCATATAGACCTCATACGAGAACGCAACTCTTATATGGTCCTAAAAAGGGGAAACCTCGGACCGAAAGAGTTGTCCTCCACAAATTCTTTCGCCTGAGATGGTACGTAGTTGATACCATAACTTTTGTATTTAGTATGAAATTGACAAGCACTCTTTGTTACTTCTATATGAATGGAGGTGTAAGTATTTTGCTGAGAAAGAAAATCAAAGTTGCCGACAGCTGACTTTTTTTTTTTCTTCTTTTAAAACATTGATTGTGAACTCAAGAGACTACGTACTTTGATTTTTAAGGTTGCGGTGTTCTTTTCATAATTAAATTTTCTGACTGACAGCCACAGAGGTGCAGAATATTCCTCCAAAGAGCAAAAATTGGTCGCTATTTTAGCCTTAAATTCCCTCACTAGATGTATACCTTAGTCAAAAGTTTACAATGGGCCCAAGAATTTAAAAAGATCAGCCCTCCCCTGTTTTTCCTTATTTTTTGCTTTACATGAAAAAATATTAAAGTTAATGAAGCATTCTCATACACCAAGTTCAAACAGAGACTCATTTGTATTTTCTATACCCCTGGATAGTCAATCTTCGCTACACAAGATTCTGTAGGAATTTGCCCCATCAACTTAGAATCCACTTTGACACATCATGCAAAAATGTTTGGTAATATTCCCCAGAAATAGTTAATTATGGGAAAAATTCGGAAATTTTTAATATCATGTTTTTTTATGTTGCAGGGGCATGTGGATTAGAACTATAGCTGGGCGATACAAGCGATTATTCGGAAAGAGTAGAGAAAACAAAATTCGCTCTACACGGCATGTTATGTGCAATGCCCAGCAGTGTAGACTGCTTGATCAGATGACCCACGAATATTGGAAAAAGCCAAAATACTACGTTGATGATCCATATGAACCTTATCATAGCAGAGAGGAATTTCCATACACGCGTATGAAACCGGTACCGTGGCCGTGAAGCGGAATCATTGGATAATAGTTGGTTCAGTACTGTTTTATACCCTAAAGTTGCATATTGTCGTTGAGAACATACATTTTCATAGTTGTTTGTAATCGATTGTATGATTTATTTACGTGATTGCTACACCTTGAGTCGAAAAAAAAACTGCGCAAAATCTTTGGGAAACAAGAAAAAGACATCAAGTCTGTGTAAAAGGAGAGGTATCAAAGAGAACCATATTTTGGCCCACCTTAGCTGAATTTCCTCATTTCTAAGATTTTGTGCTAATTTAAGGTCTAAATCTTATAGCATTCATCTTGATTTGGTTATATTTGGTGCCTCTTCAGGTCTAGTATTGGCCTAAACATGGGTCTGGAGGTCTATTTTGGGGAAAACTGTGAGTTTTGCAGGCTTTCGAATCCATATTTGTCCCAAAAATTTGCCTCGAGACCCATATTTACATCAGTAATAGATCTGAGAAGGGACTGTAAATGACCAAATTATGATGCATTTTGTGAAATATAGACTCTCCATGAGCAAAAACTTGTAGAGTTGAGAAAATTCAGACAGGGTGGGTCCAAAAAGGGCCCATTTCGATAGGTACTCCTCCTTTTCTTGAATATTTGTGATCAGATTTGTGAAACAGGACCTTAGCTTCTGGGAAGTTTTTTTATTTAAACCCTTGCAAATCTATTAAGGGAAAAAATCTAAAAATTTCAGCACAAGTTCAGGGTGTCCCTGGTCAGTAAAAACCGGAAAACATCGGGAAATTTGATGTCATCAGGAAAATTGATAATGGATCAAAAAATTCAGAGTGTGTCAAATATTTTGTAACTACATCAAAATACTTAGCTCTTGAAAAAGTAAAATATTGGATTTGATTTATTAAATATGTTGGTTTTTAGAATCAAACCAGTGTTAATCTTTGCACCAAAAAATCAGGAAATTTCTTTTAAAATATCAGGGAAAATCAGGATCATCCAAAATGGAATTCCAGTAGACACTCTGAAGTTTGACAAACTAATTGCGGCAGATACAAGAGTCGTATAGACGGTAAGCTGGAATTGTTTCACCAAATTGTTGTTACCAAACAGCGTATCTCCTTGAGGAAAAATTGTGCTAGAATGAGCTTTTTCCCTCTGCATTGAGGTTTCCAGTTTTCTGGATTTTTAACGCACGTTGGCTAAACAATTCCAACTTACTGTCCATACTCTGAAGTTTGATCTTAAAATCTCGAAAATCGAAGGATACTTTAATCCGGAAGTTCCAAGACATAAATTCTTAGGTTGTAAAAAAAAGTTGTTTATGTGTTTACGAGTCATGGAATCTTATCCCCTAGAAGGCAAGGTCCTTTTTTATGGATCTGGTCACATTTAAAGGCAATAAACGAAGAACCAAAGTAGGTACATGTCGATGTCAGTTGAATGAATTTCTCCAGATCTGTTAATTTAGCTTTCCTCCTAAATCAGAGTTAAAGAATCTGTTGTTGTAGACTACTTTGACATATTTTTCTAATAAAAAACTAATTTTTAAGGGCAAACTATTGAAACGATTAGTATTGAATTTGAGAGTCATTTCCAATCATAGCTTTTGCAATTTTTCAGTTTCTGCTGTGGCAGTTGCCATGCTGGAAAAATGTAAGATTCTGAGTGTTCCATCAGATCTCTACCTTCAAATTTTCCTATTTCTCAGATAAGGGTAGCCAGATTTTAGATTCGAGAAAAACTGGTCCGACTGACTTTGAATCTGAAATTAGCAGTAGCTTCTCTTTTATATTAAAACCTTGCACTTTTTTACTGACAAAATTTTTCATGTCATAACTCTGGAACATCCTGGTTGGTGTGCTTTGAAAAAGAAATTTGATTTGCGTAAATGAAATTACAAATGTCTTTAAAAAATAAGTGCGTAACTCATATCATAAATTTACAATGACCTCAATCGAGGAAATCACAGACTAAAATTAATTGATCGGTAACTTTTCATTCGATTTATTTTTCTATGTCTTCAAGAGTGAAATTTGACATGGAAAATATGTACCCCAAGCACAGGAAAATGTGTATATAATGTATATAGATTTCAGGCAGGTTTCCAACCCCGAGGCAAAAGTTCTAGAGAGTTCCCAAGATGAAAGGTCGAAGCCCAAGTTTTTCTAATCCTGGAACCAGAAGTCAGAACCAGAATCCAAGAATCATTCCTGAGTCAGAATACCCTACCCTTATTTTGCTAATCTGAATAACCTACCTTACAATTTATTTGATTTTATATACATCGTCCAAAAAAAGTAATTTTCAGGGATGGACAGAGAGGTGGGATGGGGACACCGGGAAAAATTCTGGACCCCTGGTCAATACTTAAGGTGATTTTTGACCGATTTGACCCCATCACACTGCAAGAAAACATCCATTTCAAAGAAATGAGACGTCTAAACGCTAAACAACTATTCGCGCAAGATGTACGTCCACATTGCGGATGAAAAATTGAAGGCGCGACGGCGTGAGTCGTGAACTCGCAATCCTCTGCTCAATGCTGCTGGTGAGATTCGGGAGTGAAGTTAAAAAACGTGGCCCAAACGACTCTCCTGTTTTCGGTTGTGTTTCTCACGTCTATAGTGCTTGAAGCACCACAACGAATGAGACAAACGGAAACAAACACAGTATGGAAATAGAGGGAGGGCGAGGATGCGCGTTTACGTTACGACGGCGCAGAGATACAACTATTCGTACTTGATGGACGTCCGTGCTGCATCTGAAAAATTGAAGGCGCGATGATGCGAAGCGTGAACTCTCATTGTTTCGCCATACGTTGTCAATGAGGTGTCGCTCAGATTCGGGAGAAAAGATAAAAAAGAGGCTCGAATAATTGATTTTTTCTTTCACCTCAGAGGTATATTAGTTACTTCCATACGTTCAATTTTGCAATTTTTATTCAGTACGATACCCGTATGAGGGACTGTACTCAGCACTGTCAAAGGTTTAGCAATCTTGCGGACCCCATCTGGTAGCAACCAGTGTTCGAAACTCACAGGCGCCAACGCGCTAAATGCGTCTAAAAATCGGTCATGGCGCCTAAAAAATGAAGGCTCTGCGCCAACGTGGCCCCTAAAAATTGCCCCCTAAAAATCTGGATTTTCACAGGAAGTCACATAAAGAAGGAAAAAACAAATCTATTCGAATTTAAAAAGCTCAGAATTTTCAGCAACACAAGTGAAAGTTTGCTTTTTCTTTTCCTCACTATTTCATTCTTGGTGCTTTTGTCTTCCCCAAGTTACAGCTACTTACTAGTTCTGTTACGAAAACATCTTACGTCTAACTTTCCACTAAATGCGCCGTAATATTTAAGCAAAGAATCAGTTTGTCCCCTAAAAATCTTCAATGGCGCCTAAAAATCGGGCTTGATGCGCCACATGGCTTCTAAAACTTAAAGGTGTGTTTCCAACACTGGTAGCAACTGCCTCAANAGGGGGGGGGGGGGATGGTCACCGGCTTCATAACATATGAACCACCCATCAGAGGGGCAGACAGGACTCATAGCTGTGGTGAAAGCAGCATGTCTAGGAGACGGTACTCCAAAATCAAACCCTGGTCCTCCAGGTTGGGGGTTGGGGCATCGGGCTAACTCCCCGATACCCGGAAAAAAGCTCAACATTAAAAAGCCTGACGAAAATAGCCTCGGTGAACACGGAAAAAAACGAATTTTCCGACATAAACTACAAAAACGGACTATGATTTTTGGGACATAGAATGTACAGGGCATTTCTAATAAATTGACAGAAGTTATATCGGAGGTAAAAAAGTGTATTGTGGATGTCGCCGTGTTAACAGGAACGAAAAAGAAAGGCACAGGATCAGAAAACTTGGGATGCTATGATCTGTTCTATAGTGGTGTCAGTAAAGATCAACGCGCACAGCAAGGAGTCGCCATGACTATCTTTGTGTGGACACGGCCTTCCGTTCATAAGAAATGAACGAGAAAATTATGACAGAACAAACATAAATATGGTTAAATAATGTTTTAACTCCCACCGCCGCGCCGCGCTGGCCGTACTGTGTTTGGCGCAGTGCGTGAAGTAGAGTACCTGTATAGGGAGAGTAGCGACAGATCTGAAAGTCTGAAACTCCGAAAGTCCATCAGGCCTTCACCGATGCCTCCGCGAATAAAGTTAGG